GTTGGTAATGTGCCTATATGTATATCTGTGTGAGGGTATCAAATACTCTGAAGCTGGAGTCATAGACAGTTGTGAGCTGCCACATCAGTGCTGCGAATTGAACCTGGGTCCTCTGGAAGAGCAGACAGTGCTCTTAACCACTGAGTCATCTCTCCAGCCCCTGGCCTTCTGATCCTCCAGTCTCAACCTGTCAAGTACTGGGTGCAACCACACCCAGACAAGCACTGATGCTGGGATTCCTATGTGGCTCTCTACGTACTGAAGCTGGACCTCTGCATGAACACAAAGCGTGCACCTTTGGCTAGTCTAGCGGCCAGCTTGCCCTCGGGATCCCATTTCCACTTTGTAAGGGCTGGAATTACAGGCAGGCTGGTGCTGGGATTTGAACTCTGATCCTCACACTTATACAGCAAGCACTTTATCCACTGAACCACCTATCCAGCCTCCAGACTGACACTTTCTTTTCTTTCTTTTTTTGAGACAGGGTCTCACCACTTAGCTAGCCTGGAGCTTGCTATGCAGACCAGGCTGGCTTCAAACTCAGAGATCCTCCTGCCTCTGCCTTCCAAGTGCTGGGATTAAAGGTGTGACATATCTCAAAAATGATTTCTCCCCGTTTGTCTTTTGTTTTTGTGGTTGACACTTGTGGTTTTAAACCAGAGCACACCAGACTTCCATTCTCACCTCCGTTAATCCCGCGGGCCAAGGCCAGGCTCGTGTGGTTAAGCTCCTTCTCCCTAAATGTCCTCGGCAGTTAATCCTCTGTGACCAGAACACGGTGAAGAGTATTAGAAAGTCAGGACGGGGCGGCCTTCGGGGGCCTCTCTCATGGAACCAGCGCTGTCAAGGGAACGTGCACTGTGCGGCCTCACTCACACTTAAGTTCAGGCTGTGAGACTGCCCAGAAAGTGTTCCCTAGAGCAGGACAAAGTGACCTCACAGTGGCAAGTCACACTGACCTGTTCTGCTGATGCTGAAAGGACCCTCCAGAGCACTGCCACCTCAGAGCCTGTGTCTAGGTCATTCCAACCAGTGGCCCCCAATCAGCCAAGACCGCTGGTGTGGAGCCAGAGGAAGGCCCTTGCCTGTGCAAGGCCCCAAGTTCCACCCCCAGCGTCGCTCAAACGCAAAGCAAGAGGCCAGGTGTGCTGGTGCGCCTCTGGAACCCCAGCATCCAAGAGGCGGAGGCTGGAGGGCCTCGAGTTCCAGTCCAGTCCTGGCTACACAGTGAATTCAGAGCTAGGCAGGGTCACGGCTGAGGAACTATCAGTGGTCCTAAATTAGGGCTGTGACAAGTAACCAGACTGTGGTAGCCTGAGATGGGACCCTAGGACAGGAAAGGGACACTGGCTAAGAAACCAAAGGCATGTGGCCATGGGGAGAGTACCAGCATAGCAGCCCCACTGGGCACTAGCCTGCTTCTTTCCACTATTCCAGTAAATCTAAATTGGCCTAAAAAAAATGACTGCCAGGCTGTAGTTCAGCTGGCAGCGTATTTATGTCACATGCACAAAGCCCTGGATTCCCCTGGGTTGATCCCAATACTGCAGAAGCAGCCACCAAGTAATCCTAGAAGTTAAAGCAGGGAGATCAGGAGTTCAAGGTCATCTCCGACCACACAGAGCAAGACTAGCCTGGGCTACGTGACCCTGTCTCAAAAACAAGGAGAACCATCCACTAAAACAGTGTAATCTCCCTTCACGTCCAGTGATAGGCCCCAATCACCCCTGACCTGCCAGAGGGTGATGGAGGCTGAAGCTGGCAGGGAGGGACTGGGAAGTGGGGAGTCACACGGGACTCCTGTCCCTTGACTAGCAGAAGTTAGCCAAACAGGCACAAGGGTACAGAGCACTGGGCTCCGGCACAAGTGGCAGCTGCCTGTAGTCTGAGTCTTTCGTCCCCGGGAGCCTCGGTCTTACCATCTGTCGGATGGCTGGCATCTGGCACTCAGGGGGACATGCTCTGGACTGATGTCAGGAATAATTGGAGGGAGACTATTCCTTCCCACCACATGAGGAAACAGCTCTCAAGTCCTGGTTCCTGGGAGCTGTTTCTACGGTACCCATTCCAGGCCACCCAGCTGCCCATGAGGCTCCTTTAATGGGGGCAGGGTGGCGAACACAGGCATACAGAAGCCTCTTTGTTCCAGTCTTGGTGATGGCTGGCGGCTGGCTCACCCAGGGAGCGGCTTTGGCCTGGTCACCACCATTCCCTGTAGACACTGGGAAGGGGACAAGGATGGCTTTACCCAGTGACAGTAGCGTGAAGGCTGGGTGGAGGTGAGGCCAACACACTGTGTAGACACAGACCCTGAACGTCTACATCATCTAGGCTCAGTTAAATCCAGAAGGCTTAGGCAGCATGACCTCCTGACCTTAGTACTGATCCGTACCTTCCTCCATCGCCAAGCTGCTCCTTCTAGGACCCACCGCAGCTCCAAGTGTGCTGAACTCTCTCCCAAAGGACAAGCAGCTTGTTCTTCATCCACCACACACTGTCCTTGTCACAGGCACCAGGGGCCTTCAGAGCCAGGTCTCTTCGCTGTACCTTTAGGCTGGTGTACTGCCCACTCTGGTGGCAGCCTTCTCTGGGCCCTGCTGTCCTCAGTTCTCCCCATTCCCGTGCTCTACCCTGTACCTATTTCTGCTCTCCGGCCAAGGCTGCTCTCCTCTGCCAACCGTTCATGTCTTGGGCGGAACCTGGAATTAATCCCTAACCCCACCACCGACCCCACAGCGGCATGACTGTGCATGGAGCTCAACTGCGCAGCTCCTCTGAGCTTAGGAAACCCATCACCATCTGCTCCCTGGCTCCCAGCACCAGAAATCATCTCCCCAGGGGAAATTCACCAGTGACTCCCCACAGATAAACCCACCGTCCAGACCATGGCTCCCAAGGTCCTGTACCACTCGCCCATCCACATCAACGAACTGCCGCCAGGCCGCTCTGACACCAGCCTCAGGGCCCTTGCTCTTGCATCTCCTTCCCCCAGACTGTAGCAACCGCGGCCTTATCTTGATAAGCATTGCATCACACAAGCCCGGCTCCACCAACTGGAACCCTTTCAGCTTGAGTTCTGAGTTCCGGGGCTGCCTGGGGCATTGGGAACCGCTGAAGAGACAGGAAGAAGCTGGCACCGTGCCCTAGGCGGCGGCTACCCAGTGTTAACAGACAAATCAGGACGGCTATTTAAATCGATTGAGGATTGTGCAAACACCGCTATCAGGGGATTACTCGCCCTTATCAGCCCAGAAGCCGGTGCAATGGGAGAGCTGGCCACATCAGCTGTGAAGATGAGGCCGGGCGCTGAGGAACCCAGGTCCCAGGCAGGGAAGGGGGGGGTGGCCTGCCTGACAACACACAGCTGGGCCTACTACAGGGTGTCCACCCACCACTGGCCAGGGTGTGGCTAGAGAGCCTAGGTGAGGGCCAGTGGGCAGAGGCCAATGCTGGAATCTTCTGTTCAGTACTGCTCCCAGGAGTGGAGGCCATGGCTCTGCACAATATTGCTCCCAAGGAAGTGGCCAGCTCAGGGAGTGACCCAGCAGGCGCTTACAGAACATCTACTGTCAGCCTGAGCAGGGGCTGAGGTAGCCTTGGTCAGTGGTTTAGCAGGCAATGCTGCCCCCACACCTCTCCCCAGTCACCAGCCCTCCCAGCACAGTCCCAGGAGGCCACAGTGCCACAGCCTCCATGTTCATGACCAGCCAGGCCAGCCAAGGCTGGAGGAGCCGCCCAACTCTGGGGTAAGGGCTCCTGTGAGGAGGGATTAGGAGACTGATGCAGGTGGGGTCTGGGCCCCTCAGCACAGAGTGGACTAACCTCTCCCCTGTGATAGCTCTGCCCTAGACTGAGAGGTGGCTTGATTAGCGGCCTGTACACTATCTATTGGCTTAGGCAGACAGAACGCTTATAATGAGATTGTGGAAGCAAAACCAGAGGGAGCCCAGGTAGAACCAAGGGTGCCAGGGCCCCTGACCAGTCCCGGAGCTCAGCAAAGGGGGAGAAGACACACCTGAGCCAGAGGGCTGGAAAGGGGGGATACCGAGGCAGCTGGAGCCAGGGATACAGCTGGACATCACAGCCAGGCGTGCTTCTGCAAAAGGACATTCCAGACACTTTGCAGGTCCCTCCTCGGAGCCTCTAGTTTCTCATCAAGAGGACGAGCCTCAGTCCCTGTGCCTGGCCAGAGAAACACCCAGGACTTCCCAGCACAGTGCCCCATTCCATGCTCAATACTTGGAATTCACTCACTGAATTCTGGGCAGCCCTTCTGTGCCTGAGGTTGGGGATACAGCAGTGGATGACACAGAAAAAACAATCTGACTTCTGAACTGAGGGAGATCCAGCAGGGTCAGGGAATCAGTGTGTCTGAGACAGGGTCTCACTACGTAACCCTGGCTGGCCTGGGTTCACAGAGGTCTTCCTCAGCCTCCCAAGCACTGAGATTAAAGGCCTGCACCACCACACTCAATGAGGGCTGCTTTTGAGGGGCCATCACAGAGGGCCTAAGCATGTGGCCTCTAGGTAGATCTTGGGGATCAAATGTGTGGTGTTCCGAGGAGGGCCCCAGGCACACTGAACAGCTTGTACAAGGGCCCTGAGGTAATAGTGGGGGGTGGGGGTGGGGGTGCTAAGAGTGTGTGGCCAGTGTGGCTGAAGAGTGACAAGTAGGGAATGCTGAGGTTGGGGCTGTCAGATGGCCACCATCGTATCAGTACACGGAACAGGGCAGTGGGACCTGGAAAACAGCTGGGAGAAGAGAGTGGGGAGGGGTGGCCGAATTCTAGAAGCATGCTGAGGGCGGAATGCAACAGACAGGAACTGGGGGCGCCGCTGTCATGGTGCTGGGACTGGGTGCTCTAAGATGAGCAGGTGGGACTCTCATAGCTTGTCCTTGACGCAGGACCACCCTGAGCACTCACAGCACACACAGTGCACACACACACACGCTCACGTGCACGAAGGCCAACAAACTCCAGAGGGACCCTGGCACTCACCAACACCGAGGATGACAAGGGGTGTGTGCTCCCAGCGGGCCAGCAGCAGGAGGTGAACCGAGTTGTGGGCGATGAGGCTGAAACACAGGATCACAGAACACCACTCCTGGAGGCGCTTGCCTGTGGGGCGAGAAGGACCGAGTGAGGCACAGGCTGTGGGGATCTTCAGGGGTGTTGGCGTGCACTGTGCCAAGCACTCCCATCCATCCATTTCACCGACAGCACCAGAGGCCCATAAAAAAAGCAAAAGCAGGACACTGGGCACAGGGTGCATGCCCCTGAGTCTGGGCCTGCAAGTGTCAATTCTTGACAGACAGGACCGGGCTTTCTGGGGACTCCTTCAGGAACTTGAATGACCTCCTTACATTTTAACAGAAGTTTCCTGGCACCATGTTTCCATGTTGGTGACTAGGTAGAGGCCATGGCCAGCCTCTGATCCCTCAACCCAGGGACACCCAGAGCCTGCCCAGCCTCCACGAAACAGGACACAGGCCGTTGGCCTGAGGGTCAAAGAAGAATAGGGTGTTGAGTCAGAGAATAGGTATTGGGGACATTAGGCCCCAGAGTTCCAGGGTTGGTACCTGGATGCCTGCAGCCAGGCAGGAGCGTGACCTTCCCCACTCAACAAGGCTGCAGCAGGTGACTGAGAAGGCACCAGACCTGAGGACTTGGGTGTGAGCATTCCTCTTTAAATGCAGTCACAGTTTATAGAAACGCAAGCTTAGACAAGCTTGTCATTCTTGTGGCTTTATTGGAGGTGTTAAAACTCTGGACATCATCAGCGCATCCACGGCCTGGGGATGAGCCAGAATCGGCCCATTCATGGCCCTCTGTTGCCCAGGTACAGAAAGCAACGTGTTGCTGGCTGGATCAATAAAGAAAAGAGGCTGGTGAGATGGCTCGGCGGGAAACGGAGCTTGCCACCAAGTGTGACCGCCTGAGATCAGTCCCTGGGCCCCACACGGCAGGAGGGAACTGACTCCTGAGAATCGTCCTCTGCACTACGACATGGACCACACGCACACACCCAGTAAACAAGAAGGAAATATTCGCAAACGTTTTTAAAAGAGAAGAAAACATGAGGGACAGGAGCGTCGCTCAGGAGCCGAGCACTAGGATGTTTGAGACACTAGGCTTATGTTTGGCATCGTACAAAAACACAGAGAGGGGACAGCGAGATGGTTCAGTAGGTAAAGGCGTTTGCTGCCAAGCCTGATGACCTCAGTTCAGTCCCCGGGACCTACATAATGAAAGGGGAGAACCAACTCCCCCACAAGCTGTCCTCTGACCTTCACAACACGCACCATGGCGCGCGAGCGCACGCACACACACACACACACACAATAAATAAATGTCAGAAAAAATGTAAAGAAAGCCTCTAGATCACCTGAGACTGCCTTTCCATGTATTCCCTTTGATATACCACATTGAGTTACTTTCTTTTGACAACTAATTTTGAATTTTTTTTAATTTTTTTTTTTTATTTTTCGAGACAGGGTTTCTCTGTGTAGTTTTGCGCCTTTCCTGGAACTCACTTGGTAGACCAGGCTGGCCTCGAACTCACAGAGATCCACCTGCCTCTGCCTCCTGAGTGCTGGGATTAAAGGCGTGCGCCACCACCGCCCGGCAAATTTTGAAATTAAAAAAAAAAAAAAAAGAAATAAAAACACCATGTGAGCGGCAAGCCTTATGCCTGTTTCCCTGGCAGCTGGTCCCAGAAGCTGGAGACCCTTATGTTGACAATGTGACTACTGTCGGTGCTTAGCATCAACCGAGCAATTGCCAGGCACCAAGAACCTGCCCAGAAGCAGAGGTGTGGACAAAGAGATGGAGGGTCTTATATGTGGACATGTCTGCCTCTCTTTTCTTTGGGAGTAGGAATGTATCCGTAACATGCTACACTGATTAAGGGGTTATCAGGGCTAGCAACCTTACAGAAGAGGTTGAGTAACAGCATATTTCTCCTACATTTAAAAAAAAAAGACGAGGGTCAGAGAAGTCATGGAGGCAGCCCAAGGCAGAGGGCCAGCCAGAGGGACGCTGTGGTCTCCTCTCATCCACCCACTGCCCTGCTCCAATCGATGCTCCTGTGTTCTGTCTTCCCTTATTCTATACCACACCATCGTCCTGAAGGAGGCTCCTGATGGGGTTAATGAAGGCCCATGCCAGGTCGGCTGCCCCTCCCTGCTCCTGCAGACCAGAGCCTAGACACCTCTACCACGCCTCCTCCTGCTCAGTGATCCTGGCATCCCTCCACCCCCAGGGCTACAGCCCTACCTGAATGTGAACTCAGGTTATGTCAAGTGCCCTCACCAGGGCCCTGCACTCAGTTGGTGTTCAATGAATGCTCATGGAGTGAACAGTCTAACTGCAAACCGTAGACCATGTCTCCAAGTCCTACGCTTAGCACTACATAGGATGCAAAGATTAGGCTCCATCGGTATCCACGCAGCAGCCGGCTGCTCCCAGCTGTCCCCAGAAAAGGCTGACATTGGGGGAAGGGACCTCAAGGGTCACACACCCTTTGCTCATATACAGAAGAGGACACCAAGGCCAAGGAAGGGCAAGGCCCCCAGAGGTCACAGGAGCAGATCTGGGTCCAGGGATTCCAATCCTTCTCAACTGTGCTATCTCTGAGCTCTGCTTAGAGTCATGGCCTGCCTGTCTCTTCCGGTTCCTGCCTATGGGTAGGGCCCAGGACTGAGAAGCAGGAAGCCCAAGGGTGGGGAATGAACACAGGAGGAGACAAAGGACAGGTGACTCTCCTTGCCAACCTGTTTGGTTACCTGTAGGGATTGAGAGACGAAAGATGGGCTGCGTCACAGGCAAGGATTAGACTCAAACAATGCACTAAAACATTAACGAAAATGATGACAATGGCCGGTGTCCACCGATGGGTACCAGGTGTGGCTGCAAACAGGAGCCTCTGGTCAGGTTTGCTCGTATGTTTTAAAAACGTAATCGAGCCGGGCGGTGGAGGCACATGTCTTTAATCCCAGCACTAGGGAGGTAGAGACAGGGGGGATCTCTGTGAGTTCAAGGCCAGCCTGGTCTACAGAGCGAGATCCAGGACAGGCACCAAAACTACATGGAGAAACCTTGTCTCGAAAAACAAAAAAACAAAACAAACAAACAAACAAAAAAAGTGATCTAAACTTAAAACCACATACATCCTAGTTCTTGTCAGCCCTGAGGACACAGGGCTGTCACTCCAGTCATGGGTTCCAGGTCCCCCAGCTGCTTTCAGGGCTGTCTGGCTAGCCTCTGTGGTGATGAGTTTTAGAACCCAAAGTGAGACTCAGCTAAGGAAACTGAGGTACAGAGTTGGATGTGGGTCCTTGCCTGGAAACCATTAGATCTGGCTGGTCCATTTCTCACCTTGTTGGGCAGAATGGCCCTGAAATCTGAGTCTTTCTCTTTAAACTTATCTCACTTTGGAGCTGGGTCCAGCTGCAGACGGACCTCAGTTCTGATCTACAAAAGCATGTACAACATGTTAACATGCTGCCAGCACCTCACACCACCCCTGGGAGAGCCAGGACGGTCTTCCCAGTGCCAGGGAAACCAAATAAGTGTCTAAAGTCATGGCTAGGCCATCAGCCTGGCAGGCACTTAAAACAGTCAACTTTACAAATAGTCAGGCTAGGGATTTGGGGAGGCCTTTACTCAGGAATCAGGGGGTCCTGGGGGTGCTTTACTCAGGACTCAGGTGTCCCAACCACCTGGAGTGGTAGGTGCAGATAATCTAGGCCAAGGTGCAACAGTGACTGCCCACCTGCTGGCCTGGGTGCCCACCTGCTGGCCTGGGTGCCCACCTGCATGAGGTGGGGTTGGAGCCTGGGAGAGGAGGAAGGCCCACCTACTTCACAGGGCAAGCTGAGCACCCCTGCCTCTTCCTGCCCCAAATAACCTACCCTTGTGCTGGCCTCTGGCCATCAGGAGATCCTGTGCACCATAGAGAGCGGACAAGAGGGACAGAGAAGACAGGACCAGACACAGGGACAAACGGGTTGAGGAAGCAGACACCAGGGACATACAAAGATAAGACCCAGAGGGAGGAAGACTGGGGAGAAAGCCAGACCAAGAGAGGACAAAGAGAGCTCAGCCCAGTGCGGTGGGGCCAGGCCTGGCCAGCGACATCGTACAGTGGCCCCATGCCCCAGAGCTATGGCTTAAGGCAGACCCATTTTGGAGTAAAGCCAGGTCCAACCTCAGCCCTACAGGCCAGACTGCTGTCCTGTGGTCCTAAGCACTTCCAGGGCAGAGGGCACTCCCAGCTGCCCCGGCTGGTGGACGGACAGTTGGATCCAGCACCCCTCAGGCTCTGTCATTTTTCCAGTTCGGCACCTGTGAAGCAGCTTACGTGGCAGGTCGCAGCCGGCACCTCTGAGAGTTGCCATCTTGGCCAAGTAGGTGGGAGGGAGGATCCACCAAGCCCACTAGGCTCCTTTCAAACGCCGGCTTTTGGCTCATTGCTGGGAAATCCAAACCCATAGTGGTGCACTGCTCAAGACCTTCAGTGGCTGCAACACCACACAGGTAAGAGCTCAGCCCAATGCCTGAGCCCTCAATAGTGACCTCACTGTGATCACTATTGCCTCACTCCTGACCACCCCCTTCTATCCCACCCACCCTGTCCACACTAGGCCAGGTGTCTGCCACCAACACCACCAATAGGCTCTATTGCTGTCCTGGAACTTCTGGCTCACTTATACAGCCAAGGTGAAAGAAAACCAGCAAACAGGAGACGCACCCACTTCATCTCTGTCCCGGTGACCCCGGTAACCCACACAAGAGCAGGGAGGGTTACCATCCTGTGCTAAGCCTCTCCACAGACATGGACAAGGTGGTCCTGGGGTGTCACGGGTTCCCCGAAAGCCAGCCTTTCTACTGCGGTGACAGCAGCCTAGCCCCAAACAGGACTGGCATTTCAAGACATGAGAGCCTGTGGGGGAAATGCCTGCACAAGTCAGTCTCCAATAAATGCCATCTTTGTTAATTTACCACTGCCAGCTGCCAAAAGACGACAAACCACCTTCGGCCCCAGGAATCTCAATAACTCGGTCCCGGGACCCCGGGGCTTCTTCTTGTGTTCCAGCCCACGGGTTCCTCGTGCTCCTCGGCTATGCGAGGCACACTCCCACCTCAGGGCCTTGCACTTGTTCTCTGGACCTCACACACTCTCAAGACCCCTCCTGCTCTTCCCCCCTTCAGCCGGTCCAATGCTGTCCTTTCAGTGAAGCCTGATGAGGGCGCTCTACACGCCACCCCTCTCCCTAATACTTCCCCTGCCGCTTCTGCTTCACGGCACGTGTGGCCCTATTTCCCTTCTGTGGGGGCTCATCGCCTGTCTCCCCAACCCAAACGACGCTTCAAGTCCTGCCTGCTGCTCTGCCTTCAGGGCTGAGAACAGAGACGGGAATGAATATAATATCAATAGGTGCTCAATATACATCAGGCCTGTTCTCTCTGTTTACAGGTCAGGTCCACAGGGCTCAGTGGACAGAGACAGACAGAGGGAGACCTACTGAAGGTGGAGGGACCAGTCTGACCAGTCCTTCCCTCTCTCCAGGTCAGGGGAGAAGGCCTTGACTGAGGGTTTGGGGCCCCCAGGGGCTGTCTGAAGCCTTGGGCTTCTTCTGTACAGCTATTCTGAGAACAGCAACCAGGGACTGATACAGAATCATGAAGGAGGGGTGAGAGGCGGCCTGCAGGGAAAAGCAAGAGGAAACAACTGGGACCAGGAGAAAGTAGGCTGTGGGGACAGCCCAGCCGGAGGCACTCTGGATCCCTCCTCTCCGTTCTTAGGTCCTAGGCCAGAGGCCTGAGGACCAGCAAGACAAGGCTTGCTCCAAGCTCAGAGAAGGGCAGAGGGCCAGGCGAATCACAGGGACCGCCTATTGTACACAAGGCTTAGTGCCACACAGCGGGTGTCATTACAGTGGGTGATCATTGTGACACTGAAGAAGAGAGACTGCACCTTGCCTGTGGGAGAAGAAAGGAAACCCAGGCTGGGGAGTGAACAGGCTTGACCCAGGCCATGCAGTTAACCACTCTGAATGCCACCAGACTCCCTACGGAGAGCAGGTCCAGAGGCTGGCTGTTTGTGTGGGCCAAGAACCCAGCAGAACAGACCAAGCACCCAAGGCAAGCTGGAAAACCATACAAACAGACTGGAAATCCAAGACTAGGGCAGCCCTGAGGGACCTAGGACCCAGAGAGGAGGAGGCAAATGGCAGGTCACGTGCTACTTATAGTTAAAAAAGCACCAAACTCATGCCAGACAGGGCAGGAAGCCAAGGGAGTAGTGGCCTCAGCCCCACCCCGGCCAGGGCTCTGCCCTGTAGCTGCCCAGCCAAAGGAGGGACGACAAAGCCGACTCATGGAGACACCCCAGCAGAGGTGCCTCAGGCTCTGACTCTGGAGTGCACAGGCATTTCCTCAACCCCTGGGGACACCCAGTTGAGAGTGGAATTCCTGAGGCTCACTGGGAGCTGGAGAACAGGAGGAGCCAGAGTGTGTTAGGTTAAGAGCATGGCTAGGAGCAAAGAAAACCAGAGAGCCTGGCCTTGAGGAAATGGATAGAGCCAGGGCAAGGGGCTCTGGGTTGTGATAAGGGATGGGGAACAAGGGTATCCCACAAAGTCTTAAGTGGCTAGTGTGTGGATGTGAGAGAGGACAGAGCCAGACCGGGACTCAATAGGGTCTGAGTACCTGCCCAGAATCTCCCAGGAAGAGGTGAAGGCTGACGGCCCCATTGGGAGTGGGAAAGGCAGAGTTTACGGCAGCTACTGAAGCAGGGACCATGGTAGGGCTTGGGGGAAGAGCTCCTGGCACACTCTGCAGTTGAGATCCAAACTGGGGGCCTCGCAGCTGAAGGGCTAATAGTCCCAGATTGGGGGTGTGCCAGTGCAACCCAGGGCCCTAGCTAAAATGCACAAGATGCAGAATCACAACGTGTGTTGGGGGCTGGGGGGAGGACCTAGGACATCATGTGAGTTTAGGTCGCTAAGGACAGGGCCTAGTGGTTGAGGAGCTGTCTGAGGCTTGGCTGCCTGAGAACCGGAAGCCTTGGAAAGGGTCCTGGGGACACAAGGAAGGCCACGGTGAGGTTCCTAAGCTGCCAAGGTGCCCTGGGGCTAGGACTCCGGATGTGCAGTTGCAATGAGGCTGTTCCTAAATCTAGGGGTGTCTCTGCAGCCCCAATGCCTCACGGTTCTGGGTAAGAAGGGGTCTGGGTGGGGTCCCTAGACCTGGGGTTGCTCTTTGCAAGTTGGAAGCCCTGGAGTTCCGCTTTGAAGGTGGAAGCTGGGGTTGGGATGGGGGCAGGGTTCGGATGGCGTGGGGTTCGGATCCAAGGGCGTCCAAATGGGCTGGAGTTTGTATCTGGGTGGAATTAGGATCTTGGGGATTCTGGTGGGCTGGGGTTCGGATCCGGGGTAAGGGTTTCGGATGAGTTGGGGTTCAGGTCAGGTTGAGATTCGAATAGGCTGAAGTTCTGATCCACAGGCTCCGGATGGGTTTGGGTTCGAATCCGGGCCATCGAATGGGTTGGAGTTCGGATCCGATGGGTTGGGGTCCGAGCGTTCAGACCGCCTGGGGTTCGGTCAGGGCGGGCCCGGCGCCGAGCACCCATCAGCCCGCAGGCCCGCCGCCCGTCCTACCTGGCGAGTAGAGCGCCGCCAGCTCACGGGCACCGGCGTGCTGTGCGCCCCAGCGCCGGCTCTCCGCCGTCTCGTCCTCATCCAGCTCCGGCTGCCGGCCCGGCGCGTCCTCGGCGCCCGCCATGGCCCGTCGCCCGGCACGCCCGCTGCGCTCTGCCTGCGGCGGCGGCGGCGGCGGCGGCCGCGGAACCGCGGCGAGATCACGCCGCCCAATGACCAGCCGGCGCTGGGCGCGGCGACCGGGGCGGGGCCTCGGCGGGGCCGCGCGTCACAGCCAATCGAGACCTGCGCCCGCGCCGCGCCCGGCCAATCGCAGGCCGCCGAGCCGCAGCCAACCGCGGCGCCGTGGGGCGGGGTCGCAGCTGGACTCAGCTGGGCGCGGAAGGGAGGGTGGGTGTGCGCGTCCCCGCTGCGCCCCCGCGAGCCAGGGCGTACGCGCCCGTGCAATGGTCCACGACTTGGCTTCTGCGCCCCGCGAAGCGCCCACTGAGTTCACGGCGGCCGCGGGACGCGCATTCGCGGGGAAGCTGCTCGCTGCACGCACTAGGTTTCATTTCACTACTCAGGAGGGTCTCGCGTTCGAGGCCAGCCTGGGCTACATTGCAAGACTCAGTCGTAAAACATAACTAGTGATACTGCCTGCTGAGAAGCGGCCCTCCCCCCCGCCCATGACCACTTGCTGGGGTGCCCCCTCCTCCGGTCACTGTGACATCACCCTGACGCTTGTCAGCGCTTGTCATGGGTAACGTCTCCCTACCAGGAAAGGATCTGGAGGGCTCTGCCTGGGCCAACAGCTGGCAGATGTTAGAAGCTAAACAGGTTGAACGAATTTGGGCTCAGCAGACTGTCCTGTCTTTAGCACATCAACATTAAGAGAGCTGTAGGCTTATGTAAAGTCCTTAGAGGAAGATAAACAGCGTTTGCCCCCGGGGCTGCAGGACTGAGGTGCCTGGCAGAGGGGATGAAAGATCTGAAGGATCTTTCCAAAGGCTCCATCTTCGTACTGAGACTTAAGCCTCCCCAGGCTATCTCCCGCCACCTCGTGCTCCTTCCCTGGGTGGTCTCTGTCCCTAGTCAGTTCCCGACTTCCTTCTTGCCTCCTTCATATGCCTCCTCCCTCAAAGGAAGAGACAGGCTGCCGCCCAAGTTGCTGCCGGTTCCCGTGAAGCTGGTGGCCTGACACCTTGTATTAACCGCACAATTAGATTTGGGGTGTCAGGGGTTTTATGCTGACTTGTTTAGGTAGGTGCTGGGTCTCAGACCCTCCCAAACTACATGGTATCCCAGTGCCTATTAGCAAGCAGGCTGACGGTGCAGATTACCGCTGATTCAGGTGATCTCTGTGACCTGCAAGGCCAAGGAACCCTGAACTGTGTCACCGTTCTTTCAACTCATGAAGCACCTACAGCCTGGACCTACACAGAGTCTCTGATGTTTGCTAGAAATGGCTGGCGGAAGTCCCTTCCTGTAGTTTGTTTTGTGTGCACAGGTGGGAGTGTGTGTTCCATTTTACCACGGTGCCCATGTGGAGTCAGAGGACAATACTTGGGTTACTCCTTCAACCATGTGGGTCCCGGGGATTGAATTCAGGTCCTCAGATGTAGCAGCAGGTGTTGTGAGAAATAGCATCCCGTAGGGTTTTGCACAGCAGAATGACAAGATCTGATTTACATTAATTTTTCAGGGAGGCAGTGGTGGCACCTGTAATCCCAGCAGTTAGATCTCTGAATTCGAGGGCAGTCTGGTCTACCTGAACTCACTCTTGAACTTACAGAGATGACAGCCTGCACCACACCTGGCTTTTATTTATTTATTTATTGGTTGTTTGAGGCAGTGTTTCTCCGTGTAGCTTTATCTATCCTTAGACCAGCCTGGCCTTGAACTCACAGAGATCCGCCTGTCTCTGCCTCCTGAGTACTGACTGGGATTAAAGGCGTGCACCACCACTGCCTGGCTCTGGCTTTTTAATTTTTTTAATAATTTATTTGTTTCTATTTTATGTGCATTAGTGTTCTGCCTGCATGTATGCCTGTGTGAGGGTGTTGGATCCCCTGGGACTGGAGTTACAGTTTTGAGCCGCCGTGTGGGTGCTGGGAATTGAACTTGGGCCCTCTGAAAGAGCAGACAGTGCTCTTAACCATTGAGCCATCTCTCCAGCCCCCTGGCTTTTTAATTTTTTTTTTTTTTTTTTTTTTTTTTTTTTTTTTTTTTTTTTTTTTGGTTTTTCGAGACAGGGTTTCTCTGTGTAGCTTTGCGCCTTTCCTGGGACTCACTTGGTAGTCCAGGCTGGCCTCGAACTCACAGAGATCCGCCTGGCTCTGCCTCCCGAGTGCTGGGATTAAAGGCGTGCGCCACCACCGCCCTTTTTTTTTTTTTTTTTGGTGGCTTTTTAATTTTTAAAGTAAGTCAATCACATGCTTTGAAAATCCAAGCCGTATAACCTTCCTCGAAAGAAATCCTATCCCCTGCCCTGCCCGTTTGCCTCTCTTTTCTTTCTGTTTATTACAGATTTTATTTTTATTTATGTGTATGTGTCTCTGTGTGTATATGACACATGTGTGCTGATGCCCTTGGAAGCCAGAAGGTCTGGAATCTCCTGGAGCTGGAGTTACAGGTGGCTGTGAGCCACTCAGGACACGGATCTGGGAACAAAATCATGTTCTCTGTAAGAGCAAACACATGCTCTTGACAGCTGAGCCGTCGCTCCAGCTCCACCTACATACACACTTCTTACTCGATTCTTCCGCACTCTTTCTGTGCTTCTGTGAGGACACAGAGTGAGCACACAGTCTGTGTGTTGTATGCATGTGCATGGATGTTGTGTATGTGTGTGTTGTATACCCATCCATGCATGCTCGTGTAGAGAACAGAGTCAGTCCTTGCCACCTTATTTCCCTGAGACAGGTATAACCTGAAACTAGTCTGGCCTTCAGCAAGCCTGTGATCTCCTGCCTCTGCCCCCACGTTCTCCCTCCCACCCAGTTTTCTGTTTCTAGGCGGGTGCTGGATCTGAACTCGGGTCCTCATGCTTTTGCAGCAAGTGTTTTTTCCTCTGAGCCATCTCTCCAGCCCCATGAGCACATATTCTTACTGTCCTTCCCTTTTTAACACAAAGAAATGGAGTATTCTGTTCTTGGGTCCTTGGTTTTAACCTGTTCTATCAGCAGGAGAAGGCTTCCTGACAGACAGGCAGACAGACAGACAGACAGATAGCCTGTAATAACAATGAATTACATACCATTTATTTATTCATTTGTTTTTTGAAACGGGGTCCATGTATACCAGGACAGCCTCAAACTCCTCCCTATTTAGCTGAAGATGATCCTGAACTCTTGACACTGCTGTCTCTATTTCCAAGTGTTAGGACAACAGGCATATAGCACCTTCCCAGCCTTTTTGGTTTGTGAGACGGGAATCTCACTGTGTAGCCCAATTGCCTCTAACTCATGGTAATCTGCTGGTGGCCATGTCAGAGGAGCTGCAGGCAGCAATAAAGCTTCTGGAATACAGCCCAGGGGATAGCAGAGCTACTCGGTCCATCCTGGAGAGGCAAAGCCCCAGCAGGATTGTCTCCAGAATGCTCCTTTGCTTCTGCTGTGCATCCTCCTGTTTCCTGCTGCTGTGTTCCTGCTGTGGTTGGCATGGTGTGATTGTTATATGAAGGATCCCACTGTATCTAGTACAGTGTGATTCTGGTACACTATATGAAGGGATCCCACTGTATCTAGTACAGTGTGATTCTGGTACACTATATGAAGGGATCCCACTGTATCTAGTACAGTGTGATTCTGGCACATTATATGAAGGGATCCCACTGTATCTAGTATAGTGTGATTCTGGTACACTATATGAAGGATCCCACTGTATCTAGTACAGTGTGATTCTGGCACACTATATGAAGGATCCCACTGTATCTAGTATAGTGTGATTCTGGTACACTATATGAAGGATCCCACTGTATCTAGTATAGTGTGATTCTGGTACACTATATGAAGGATCCCACTGTATCTAGTATAGTGTGATTCTAGTACACTATATGAAGGATCCCACTGTATCTAGTATAGTGTGATTCTGGTACACTATATGAAGGATCCCACTGTATCTAGTATAGTGTGATTCTGGTACACTATATGAAGGATCCCACTGTATCTAGTACAGTGTGATTCTGGTACACTATATGAAGGATCCCACTGTATCTAGTACAGCGTGATTGTTTCTTAGGAAAGTCCCACTCCTCACTGGGCACTTTACTTGCAGATCATAATGATGATTTTTATAAGAGCAATGATTAGTGAGAACTATGATTTAACTGGACTTTCTGGGTTAGCCTAAAAGATACAGTGATTAGGATAGTTAGTGGAGGTGATTAAGGAAATGGTTCAGGTTAGAACAGGAGATACAAAAAAAAGGCAAGAAGTCACCTTCCATTTCATTGGATGTGAGATTTGCAGAAGATGGAAAATAAGAACATGGAAGTTTCATGCATTATAGACCCATGAATTCTGCCTGTGGAAAAACAGGCTGATAATTAAAGAAAGCAATTATGTTCCTACACCCAAGGTTAGGCCTTAGTTCCTTGGTCATGTAACTTACAGAACTAATCAGAGGCCCTGGCATGCACCTTTCAAAAACAAAGTTGTGAAAGGAAATTAAATGACCCTATTGTGTGTAAAGAAAAATAGATGGTTAACTGACCACTGGTTCAAAGTTATTTATAAAATAAAAGTCTGCCATACTGAAAGCACAAACAGCTGCCTGCCAGGACAAAGGAACCGGCCAAAATAGACTTGGCTTGCTTAAAACTTTGTTAATCAATCACAAAAGAATCATTGCTTTGGGGTGAAGATGGTATGGTGGTAAAATTAATACAAAGGAAAATGTTTAACTACTTGTGGGCTTCTAAGGAAAACATGTAACTTGTGATCATAATGTGATTTCTTATGTAAAGATTTTAATTGTTTTTGGAAAATATGTAACTTGTGGTTGTGAGGTAATCTTTTCTTGTGTAGACATCTTTGTATTAGGCATAAGAGAAAAAATAAGAGAGAGAAGAAAAAAGATGTAGAAGGAAAAGCATCAGGAAGGAAAGAAATAGAATGGAACCATTAGGGAAGAAGTAGAAGAACATCAGGAAAGATCTAGAACAACTGGGAAGAAGAAGAAGAAAGC